CTTTCCTCTCTCTCTTTCCTCTCCCTCTTTCTTGCCTCTTTCTCTTTCCTCTCTCTCTTTCTTTCCTCTCTCTTTCTCTTTCCTCTCCCTCTCTTTCTCTTTCCTCTCGCTCTCTCTTTCCTCTTTCTCTCTCTTTCTCTCTTTCCTTTTCCTTTCCTCTCCCCTTTCTCTTTCTTTCCTCTCCCTCCTCTCCCCCTTTCTCTTTCCTCTCTCTCTTTCTCTTTCCTCTTTCTCTCTTTCTTTCCTCTCTCTTTCCCCTCTCTCCCTTTCCTCTTCCTCTTCCTCTTTCTGTCTTTCCTCTTCCTCTTCCTCTTTCTGTCTTTCTTTCTTTCCTCTTTCTCTTTCCTCTTCCTCTCTCTTTCCTCTCTCTTTCTCTTTCCTCTTTCTTTCTTTCCTCTCCCTCTCTCTTTCCTCTTTCTCTCTGTCTTTCCTCTCTGTCTTTCCCCTCCGTTTCTCTCTTTCCTCTCCCTCTCTCCTCTCTTTCTTTCTTTCTTTCTTTCTTTCTTTCTTTCTTTCTTTCTTTCTTTCTTTCTTTCTTTCTTTCTTTCTTTCTTTCTTTCTTTCTTTCTTTCTTTCTTTCCTCTCTCTCTTTCCCCTCTCTCTTTCCTCTCCCCTCAAGATGTCTGGTTGTCCCTTTCAGTGACTCTGGACAGCTTACAGTTCAGAAAGAATTCGGGCAAACTGCGTTTCGAAGGTCAGGCCGGGGCTCGGTCGGGCCCTTGCGGGGTGCAACTAGAGGCGGCTCTGCGGAGGCCCGGGTGCCTGACTCACAGAGGAAGCCAGTCGGGAGCCCACAATTAGCGGGCCCACTAGGAGGCGGCTGACGTGGACACTCCTGTGGCGGTCAGGCGGCCCCCGAGCTCCCCACCGAGCTGGATGGGATTCCTGGCCAGCCGGCCATGGGGTGGGAGCGGCTCCCTCACTGGGGTCGCTCAGCCTCCCCAGCTGCCGGCCGGCCTTTCCAGCGCCAAATCCTGCAGGAGGGCGAGCTGGGCGGCGGGAAAGGAGGCGTGGGCGTGGGAAAATGGGCGGAGGTCCCGGGAAGGCCAAGTGTGTGGGGGGGCAGGAGGCAGCAGAAGGCGCCCGGGGCACCATGGACTGGCCCTGGGAGACACGTGGCCAGCTCGGCTGCCAGGGAGCAGCCCGGGAGCGATGCCTCTACTGCCCCTCCCTCTTAAAAGCCCCTGAGCGCTGCGGAGGCCCTGGCCTGCTACTGCCCGGGTCCCATCCCAGAGGGGAGCCGGCTGCCCGGACAGCGGGGGCGGGTGGCAGAGGTGCGGTGGTTTCCCCCCCTCCCTGGCCTTACGTGCCAGCCAAATCGGCTGTGTGCCTGACTGCGAGCAGGCTCTCCAGGGCCGGCACACGCCGACGAAGGAATTAGGAGTAGTTGCAGGAAGGAATGTGTAGCAGGCATGTCTGAGCTGCGGCGGGCGAGCGGCCCGCTTCTGCCTCGCCATCTGCCCGTCTTCCTCGGAAATCTCTGGGCCAGCCGGGCTTTGTTCTGCCGCCCCTCCCCCCCTTCACCGCCCCCGGCTTTGGCAGCCTCTTCCCTCGCGAGGAGCCCTTTCCCACCCCCCGCTGGCCGACCAAACATAAGTGCGGGCCTATATGAACGCAGCCCTTGGGATTGGTTTATAACTCTGTCGGGAGGATCCAGAAGTTTACTTGCTTAAACCGTGATTAAATTTAAGAACGGAGGGGGAGGGGACAACTCCGACCTGTACAAGATACCTTAAGGATCCCATCTTCCAGAATAATACTGGAGGTCCTGGGAATTATATTCCCAGCTCGCCCAGAGGGCACCAGGTTGAGGAAAGACGGGGAAGAAGTTTTCTCACCGAACAGCAGCAACTTGAGGATTGCTTTGCCAGGGGAGACCAAAAATATGACCGCAGCCTGAGCCTCTCCTCTCCCTACCTAGAAGCGGTGGGGGCGGGGGCGGGGAAGCCTTCGGAAAGAGTTGTGGAAGGGGCAGCCACCAGGCTCCCGTTCTTGGACCGGCGAGGCAGATGCCTGGC